GCTTGTTGGCCATCTGAATGTCTTATTTGGTGAAGTGTCTGTTCATATCCTGTGCCCATTTTTCAATTGGATTATTTACCTTTATCTTGTGGTGCATCCAGCCAGTTTTAATTAAACATCTACATCAAGAGTTTAAAAAGTATGTTGAATATTATTAATATTGAATATTTCTCTCATTTTTGAGAGAAAGAGAAATAGTCATTGTTAACAAATTCAAACCTCGAGTTGCTATAATCAAGGATGCTTTAGACAGAATATTAAATGATCCAGGAAGTATTAAAAGAAGATAGAAAGAAGATACTGAGTCACTGTATTGAAAGGAATTGTCAGACACAGAAGAATTTAATCAAATAACATATGAGCAAGATCCTATGGTGATGAAAGAAGAAGTTCAAGCTGCTTTGAAGGAAATATCAAAAAATAAGACCCCAGGAATAGACGGTATACCAATTGATGTATTTCAGCTAACAGATGCTGCCTTGGACGTGCTCACCAAGTTGTGCCAAGAAATCTGGAGAACAACCACTTGGCCAGCTGACTGGAAGAGATCTATATTTGTTCCCATTCCAAGGAAGGGTGACCCAACAGAATGGAGAAACTACAGAACACTATCATTGATTTCATATGCAAGCAAGATTCTGCTGAAGATGATCCAAAAACGACTGGAACAGCACGTCAGCAGAGAACTACCGGAAGTCCAGGCTGGGTTTAGAAGAGGTTGTGCTACTAGGGATATTGTAGCTAATGTTAGATGGATCTTAGTTGAAAGCAGAGAATACCAGAAGAATGTTTATCTGTGTTTCATTGATTAAGCAAAGGCATTTAACTGTGTGGATCCTAACAAACTGTGGCTGACTCTGAGAAGAATGGGAATCCCAGAACATTTAATCGTGCTAATGCGAAACCTATACTTGGACCAAGAGGCAGTCGTCAAAACAGAGCAAGAAAACACTCCATGGTTCAAAATTGGGAAGGGCATACACGAGGGATGTGTCCTATCTCCATAGCTTTTCAACCTGTATGCAGAACAGATTATCTGAGAGGCTGGGCTCTATGAGGAGAGGTGTGGCGTCAGAATTGGTGGAAGATCTATCAACAATCTGCCTTATGGAGGTGACACAACCCTGCTTGCTGAAACTGAGGAGGACCTGAAGCGCTTGCTGCAGAGGGTCAAGGACTGCAGCCTCCAATATGGATTGAGGCTCAATGTCAAGAAGACAAAGATTCTCACCACTGGACCAATTGGCAGCATCAGGATGGATGGTGAAGAGATTGAGATTGTTCACATCTTCAGTTTGCTCAGCTCCACAGTCAACACTCTTTGCACCAGTAGCCAGGAAATTATAAGACATTTTGCCATGGGAAAGTCTGCTGTATGGGAAGCGCAATGGTGTCTCTCTGGAGACTAAGGTGCATCTGATACAGGCCATGGTCTTTGCTATCATTTGTTATGCATCAATGACTAAGAAGGATAGAAGGAGAATTGATGCCTTTGAGCTGTGGTGCTGGAGAAGAGTATTAAATGTACTGTGGACTGCCAAGAAAACAAACATATCCTGGAGAGGGTTAAACCGGGCTGCTCCTTGAAGGCAAGGATTCTGAGGCGTCATCTGACATACTTTGGACATGTTGTAAGGAGGGACCGGTCCTTGGAGAGGGACATCATGCTTGGGAGGGTGGAGGGACAGTGCAGGAGGAGGGACAGTGCAGGAGGGGAAGACCCTCTATGAGGTGGATTGACTCAGGGACTGGGGTAATCGGGATGGGTGTGTCAGAGGCAATGCGATTGGCAAAGGAAAGAGCAGGGTTTAGGGCTGTTGTACATATTGTTGCTATGAGTTGCAAATGACTTGACCGCACATAACAACAAGAACAACTCATTTTCAAAGGAATTGAATATGCCCTAGTTGACCCGAATAATAATTTCCTATGTAAAAGAAAAAACCTAGAATGATAAGTGCTGAATACAAGAAAATATTTCATTTTTCTACAGCATATTTTAAAGTAATGATTTTCCAGTGAAAAAGGTGGACATGCACTAAATTTGAGCTTTGGTTGATCAGACTCATTACTTTGGAGTCAGAACCAACTGACCTCCCTGCCGATTTTTGGAAGCTGTAAATCACATATCTTTCTCTTGTAGAGCAACCAGTGAAATCAAAGCAGCACAGCCTTTGGGTTATCAGCACAATTCTCTATGGACTATGCAACCAGAGCTCCCTCCTTCGATGACAGAAGTCTTAGTTTTGTCTTGCTTTGTTTCTCTCATTATCATTAAAAACTGAATAGTATCAAGTCAGTACGTGGCCTCCATTAATTCTCAGAGGCCAGGGAGATATGCAAATTTCTGGACTAAATTGCTTTTAGTTTTGTCACTGGAAACTAGTGACTGTGATTACATCGATTAGGTCCAAGATAAAGACAGGGCTCTGGGGACCTGAGTCAGTGCTAGCCCAGTGCTCTGAGTAGTTAGATGGGAGAAGAGTTTTGACTGGCTCGTGTGAGGGACAAGAGCACTGGTGTTTCTGTGGTTAAACATAAACAACGGTTGACAGTTCAAAACTGCCAGCTATATCAGGATTAAGATGTAGCCGTCAACTTCATTAAAGATTTATAGCCCTGGACATACCCTATGAGTCATCCCAAAGAGGATGGATCAGAATGAACTCACCAGGGAGCTCTGATGGCCTAGTGGCAAGAAGTTGCATTGCAATCCCAGAATGAACTCACCATGACAGTGGGTTTGGTTTTGATTTTTTTTTTATAAAGGA